TCACCAGACCTGAACCCCATAGAGAATCTATGGGACACTGTCAAGAGGAAAATGAGAAACAAGAGACCAAAAAATGCAGATGAGCTTAAGGCCATACCACCTCAGCAGTGCCACAAACTGATCACCTCCATGCCACGCCGAATTCAGGCAGTAATTAAAGCAAAAGGAGCCCCTACCAAGTATTGAGTACATGTACAGTAAATGAACATATTTTTCAAAAGGCCAACAATTCACAAAAAAATTGTTTTTATTGGTCTTATGAAGTATTCTAATTTGATGAAATAGTGAATTGGTGGGTTTTTGTTGAACGTGAGCCAAAATCATCACAATTAAAAGAACCAAAGACTTAAACTACTTCAGTCTGTGTGCATTGCATTTATTTAATACACGAGTTTCACAATTTGAGTTGAATTACTGAAATAAATGAACTTTTACACAACATTCTAATTTATTGAGATGCACCTGTATATAAGGACATATATTTAATAATAAACTGCATTGAGTTTTTTAAGCTGTGACTTATGGACATTGGATAATTTTCCTGAGATAAAAGTTAAGTGGCAAATTGTTATAAGGTGTTTTTATTGGAGCCTTCCCATAACAAGTATGAGACTGTTTATCAGAGCCAGTGGTCAAATTTTCAACGGTCAAAGTTTAGGGCTCATTGTACAAAAAATAGTTGACCACAGAATCCTGCGACTGATTTACCAGTCAGAATCGAATATTGCAGAAAGCTGTGTAATAGTTAAACACAAATGTGTCTTTTGTGCCTTGTGATTTAATTATTTTTCTCTGTTCGTGTTGTCGTAGGCAGAGGCACAGCAGTATAAGCAGCAATTATCTGAGCAGAGCGAGTATCTGAAGAGGGTTCAGCAGAGCAAAGAGCAGCAAGATCAGCAGATCGAAGACCTGAGACGTCTCATGGGCGGCATGGAGCAGGAGAGCTCTACCCTCAGAGACCAACTCATGACCAGAGAAGCCGAACTCCTGCAGCTGCGCGAACTGAGGGAGGAGGGCCATGCAGGGAGGGAGAGGTAGGGGGCAAGATAAATCTTACTGATTTTGTCACATTATGTTGCCTTTTTTAACTTTATGCATCATTTGGGTGTTGCTGTAAACATGTTGCTTAATTATGTAACAGGTTAGAAGAGGTGGAAAAGGAAAACGCAATTCTGAAAGAGAAGATTCATCACTTGGATGACATGCTCAAGAGTCAACAGAGAAAACTACGGCAAATGATTGAACAGGTACATGTCCATGCACACAAACGCTGACTCTCATACAAACTTTTGTCATGGTAGGTTCACTTACTTACTCAAGCTTTCCATCCTTGTGTCGTCTAGCTTCAGAACTCGCGAATGGTGATTCAGGAGAGAGACAGAGTGATCAGAGAGCTGGAGGAAAAGGTGGCCATGCTGGAGGCAGAGGTCAGTCCACAGGATATAATCAAACATCTAGTGGGGATTCACGATTCTAAATGATTTCGGTTCTAGTTCAGATTTCTCTGAATGATTATGTTCCTTAATGGGTCCATAAATTATTATTTTACTGCAGTAATTTATTTTAGAAATAATAAACACATTTAAAATAATAATTGCAAAAGGTGTGGCTTTTCACAGTTCAAACTGATAATTTTCTCTTAACTACACTGAAAAAACTTTGATGTAAGAGAGACTGACTCTTTAGAGTCCTTTATTCAGGAATTGGACTACAGTGGTTGTGCTGCATGTTTTTGATTCACTAAAAGGAACCAACTAATTGTATGGCGTCATTGAGATTTGATATTTTAAAGCATGGAACCAGTTCTAAAAAATAATCAGTTCTTGGTTCCTAACCTTAGTTATAATTATTTTCTATATCATGTTATCATCATTTCATGAATTAGTGCTGAAAACGCACACAGATGTTTCTTTTTAAATAAAATTCCTTTTACTACATACAAAAGCGATTAGTGTGAGATCACTGTGATCTCATGAATGTTTCCTGACGTCTGACCTTTGTGAATGTGCTTTGCTTACAGAACAAACAAATGCATGATCAGATGGATTCCTACCTTGGGAGTCAAAGGTCAAACTCATCCCTGCCATCAGACGGCAATCTGAATGATTATGTTCCTTAATGGGTCCATAAATTATTATTTTACTGCAGTAATTTATTTTAGAAATAATAAACACATTTAAAATAATAATTGCAAAAGGTGTGGCTTTTCACAGTTCAAACTGATAATTTTCTCTTAACTACACTGAAAAAACTTTGATGTAAGAGAGACTGACTCTTTAGAGTCCTTTATTCAGGAATTGGACTACAGTGGTTGTGCTGCATGTTTTTGATTCACTAAAAGGAACCAACTAATTGTATGGCGTCATTGAGTTTTGATATTTGAAAGCATGGAACCAGTTCTAAAAAATAATCAGTTCTTGGTTCCTAACCTTAGTTATAATTATTTTCTATATCATGTTATCATCATTTCATGAATTACTGCTGAAAACGCACACAGATGTTTCTTTTTAAATAAAATTCCTTTTACTACATACAAAAGCGATTAGTGTGAGATCACTGTGATCTCATGAATGTTTCCTGACGTCTGACCTTTGTGAATGTGCTTTGCTTACAGAACAAACAAATGCATGATCAGATGGATTACTACCTTGGGAGTCAAAGGTCAAACTCATACCTGCCATCAGACGGCAATGCGCAGATTGTCTACAGGTAGGACATGCAAATGATCCCGATAGCTACACGCAATTTTTTTATGCAAATGGTCACATATGCTTGATAACGGACATACAAGCACACACATTCAAATTCATGTGTCTTCTCCACAGCAAACCTCTGAGACCATCCACCCAGACCAACAAGAGCCTGCCCTTCATCAAGGTCATTGAAATTAAATCATGAACCTTACCACAACAACATCCTGCGACAGCTGCACCATCCTCCCATACACAGTAAAGGAGAATACTAGCAACATCACAGACCTTCACCAAATGACATTGCTATTGCTTTAATGTCTGAAGGCCTTTTCTGCAAGAATACTTCTAATAGCGCAGAGGTCTGTTACTGGTATTGCCATCATTACATACTCTAACTGAGTTATCGATATAGATTTGACAGAACAGGGACTGTTAAAGTGAACATATCCATTTATATGAAGACAAATGAAGAACTCATCTTTTCATTATTGTGAGATTTGTGAAGGGCTTCTAGATGGATTCTGGTGTATTTTGGCATTTATTTGAGGCTGGTCCTCTGAAGACCGTCTTTCACCCAACGTTACTAGACAGATTGTGATGCTAAACACCCTCATTGAGCTCTCGTTATCTCTCGTAATCTCCTTTGGTATTAGCTCGGCTAAACTTTAGTGGGTTTCTGAGTTCACCGAAATCACAGGTGAAAATCTGTTAAAATTATAGAGACAATGGATGGGAAGAACATTTTTATTTAATTTTAAAATGACACAAGTTTGTGAATTAAAAGATGAAGGATTTTAGTATCTTAATTGTATCTATTTGTATCCAAATTAAGGCAGGAGATTGAGATGAGATTTTTGCAATCATTCAGCCCCCATTTCACAGTGAGTCGAGTTCATCCTGAAACAAAAAACTGCAACAAATATTTATTCTTGATTTAAATGCTTTTCTCAACCAAAGGGATACAGCAGGGAGAATCCAATGACTCACCTTCTATGAAAAACAAAGACGCCTTGTGAATGTTTCATAAGTTTGAAAGAATGTCACACTTGTCCTCCACTGAGCCAGACCAGTTCAGGCCAGTAGGGCACAGCGTGAGCTGTTATCCAGTCCAGCCACTGCAGTACAATCTACAGTTACTCAGTTAGCCATTTCCAACATTCAGTAAACTGGTTTTATAACACGTAGTTAGAGAAGTGATGTGATTGGCCAGAGCACCTGCCCACCTCAAAGTAATGTCATGTGAACTGTTAATAATACCACAACAGAGATTATTTATACTGCATTAATTTAATTCTGCATTTCATAACCATGTTTATCCACCTTCACATTTGAAGATAGTGTGTATATTTTCTCTTTGTGTGAACTTGAACCTTATGTGAATTTCTTAGACAGGCTTCATATTAGCATGTAACACCCTTTATTATTTTTTTAATAATAATATTTTTGTAGTAAAAACGAGTGGTTTGCAATGCTTGAATTAATGGCATCTTGTATATTATATTTAAATAAATTAGTTTCATGAATGTTGTTGTTGTTGTCTTGCCTTTTCTGTGTCTGCAAAGGAATGTGGTTTATGGTTATATGGTTATGGCATCTTAAAAACAATTAAATATATATCCTATCAAAATTGTATGATATGGAGAGGTACCATGGAATCTGACCTCCGGTGTAAACACAACAGGGTTATTTTATTCCCCTCACATTACTTGCCCCCGTATTTCATCTTCAAGTTGTTTGAGGGTGACAATTGCCTTTAATGCAATTATGCATTTAATTAATCAAAAGTGATAGTAAATCAATTTAAAACGTTACAAAGTATTACAATGCTACGTTCTATTTCACATAAACACTGTTCTTTTGAACTTTTTACTTATCAAATAATTTTGGGGGGAAAATTTTCATATATGAAGCAGTTTTAAACTTTGATAATATGAAATGTTTGAGCACCATATCAGCATGTTAGAATGATTTCTGAAGAATTGTGCGACACTAAAGACTGGAGTAATAACTGTTGAAAAGACAGCTTTGCATCACAGGAATAAAATACATTTGTGACTCTGGACCACAAAACCAGTCTCAAATCGCTGGGGTATATTTGTAGCAATCGCCAAAAATACATTGTATGGGTCAAAATTATTTATTTTTCTTTTATGCCAAAAATCATTAGGATATGAAGTAAAGATCATGTTCCATTAAAATATTTTGTAAATATATTAAAACTTACATTTTCATTAGTAATATGCATTGCTATGCATCTGTAAATTTTTAAAAAGGCGACTTTCTCAATATTTACATTTTTTTGCACCCTCAGATTCCAGATTTTAAACAAATAAATTCAGCCTTGGTGAGCCTAACTGAGATCCTCAGAAGCACTTGATAACTCCAGAGAGGTTTGCTGGAGCAGGGTTAGAACTGAATGGAATTGAACCGGTAGGTAGATCTCCGGCAACAGAGCTGGATCGGGCAGCCCTGGATTGCATACCCAACCAGTGACGTCTTGTTAGTGAAGACCCCCACTGGCCGAGAGGTGCAGGTACAGATGATGCAGACACTTCATTAGATCTGATAAGACTTTAGAATACAGTGAAAGTCAATATAAAGTCTCTTATAGCTGTCTACCACATTACCATGACAACCATATCAATTCATGCCTCAAACCACAATCTTCCTCATATACACATATTTACATGAACTAATTCACAAATTAAAATTGCACTTAAAAAAGAAATAAGGGCAATCATCTAATGATCAACAGCACAGAAATAAATACCTCTCCCAAATTCTATTATTCTATTCTCATGGATGTGGCACAGGATCTTATTTGGAAACCTCAAGTTGAAGTAGTCTTAGTATAAAACTGGTGTAAGGGTAAGGGATAGTTCACCCAAAAATAAACCAAACCGTTGACAGTCGCCATTAACTTCCATAGAATTTTTTTCCATACTATGGAAGCCACTGGCTACCATCAACTGTTTTGTTACCAACATTCAAAATATCTTCTTTTGTTTGGAACAAGTGAAGGGTGCTTAAAAATGATGGAATTTTCATTTTTGGGTGATCTATCCTTTTAATGTCCATTCAGCTGATTTTAATCCACGTGTTTTTGCCAGAAAAGCCAAGCCAGTTAAAATCTTATCATCTCAGCTAAAGGGTGCTTTGTTGGTGCTCTTTGGACAATAAAGATATAAACATTACACTCCCTATTCACATTAAAAAGCCATTCTCGCAAATAAAAGCTGGTAAACAGTGGCTTTTAACCATCAGAAAACATTAAAACTACAAACATAACATTCTTGCATTGCTCTCAAAGAAGTTGCATTGACATTTATCCGACAGATTTTGTCATATATTAAGTCATTCTCACATTCTCGATGTGATTTGAGGCCATTTTACTGCATCTCCCACCGTTTTCATTTCTACATAAAGGATTTTCCAGTGAGCAATGAACACTTCTGTATCACAGTCTTTGAGGTGTATTTACACAGTTCTTCAAACAGGTTTCATTCTCTAAAGTGTGCTTTCTAGCGTATTATAGTTGTCTTTAAAGTTTTTGAGCTCCAGGAAGTGTTTGGGCCTCTTGCTGCGCTGTCCGGTAGACGGCAGGTACGTGACCTGAATGGTAGAGGCAGACGAAGGGCCGGGAGAGCTGGTCAGATCTTTAGCTGCTGACTGGTGCTGCTGGTTTAGACTGGTGGTGCTGGAGTGGGTCTTTACACTGTGGAGAAATGAGGAAGAACGGAGTGAGAAGAGTGATAATTTGAGAGATAAACAGCAAAAATTGGACAGCAGCACTTACAGAGCAGCCAGTTCAGCCAGATCGTCCTTATACTTCACAAACTCTGCCTCACCAAACACCTACAGGAAAGAAAACACAAGCTTCTTATATATGTCCTGCAGCGCATCCTGCTGTACATTAGTATTTAACACACGTCTGCACTCTCGGACTGACCCCTGTCCCATGGCGAGCGTTGTCGTAGCCCTCCAGTAAGCGATCTATTAGTGAACTGTGATTTGACTTGAACAGAGAGTGAGAGTTTCGCAGGTCCTGCAGCCAGTTCCTGTAGCGGCGGCCGGTCAGAGCGCTGGCACTGCAACACAACTCACGAGACGGGATATCTACAGGCGGGACAAAGCCAGATCACATCAGATCAGGCTAGACCTGAGTGCATGTAAGTTTTCCATTTCAAAAGTTCGAACAGGTGAAACATAATAATATAAATATAAAATGTAATATATTTTGTGTAACACTACATATTCATAAGTTAACATTAAATATGTTCTCATATATATATACATATATATATATATATATATATATAAAGATATGACTAAATGATTATAAATATAATGTACACTACTATTCAAACATTTTGAAAGCATCACAACTGTTTTCAGCACAGATAATAAGAAATGTTTCTTGAGCAGCAAATCAGCATATTAAAATGATTTCTGAAGGATCATGTGACACTGAAGACTGGAGTAATAATGGCTGCTGCTGAAAATTCAGCTTTGCCATAAGAATAAATAATATTTTTAAATATATTAAAATAGAAAAGATTTACTTTAAACTGTAATAATATTTCAAAATATTACTGTTTTTACTCTATTTTTGATCAAATAAATGCAGCCTTGCTGAGCATAAAATACTTCTTGCAGTGAAATGTGTACTATAAACGTTTTAAAAAAAAGTTTTTGTTAACGGAAAAGAAAAAATCAGCTAAAATGTATTTTAATGACTCGAAAACTGAATGAAAGCAAATAAAAATGGTCAAAAAATGAATTTTAGTTTTTGATAACACAGCATATTATAAATCTTGAAAGTTAAGCATTAGAATGCACACAGGCAGAAGGAGGTCTCACCGGAGTCTCTGATAGCATCTAACGCTTGCATTCTGAAGAGATAATTATAACAACCTGCACAAACACAAACACAAATCCAGGCGTAAGTGTTCACATCTGCAACAGTGTTAACGCAGAGAACTGCTATGGCCTTCTCACCATTCTGGCCTTGATGCTTCAGGCGATCGTCATCTTTAGAGAGTAGATGTGGCTCATAACGAATGTCGTTCACTTTTGATAAACGGGAATCGATCTCCTCTCTCAACTCCTGTGAAAGATGCAGCCTTGCTTCAGTGCATTACAAACTATAGTTATATCCAACAAAAACACATCATAAAGGTAATATAAACGAAAGAGAGGCCAGTTTTATTGTTAATTCAATGCAAATTAGATGCATATATTGGACTCTACACAAAGGTAAAGCCTGAAATGCATCATAAAGACTTTGAATAGTCTTTATGATGACTATTCCCCCCCAAATAACTTAGTTGCTGTTGCTACAATAAACAGGACTGTGACAAGTAAGTTCTCAGAGGAATGTATAAAATCAAATGTCATCTACAAAGACACAAACGATATTTTGGATTTAGGAGGAGCTGTTGATACTTTTGGTGCGTTGTGACCCAGCGGGACGTGCGGTCCTCTGCGAGATTTCATAGCGAAGCGCATAATCTGCCTTTTCACAAAGATGAACAACAGCACAAACACCTGCAGAATGACAGACGAGATCATTCAACACATCACACGCTCAAATCCCGTTCTGACACTGCCTGCTTGATTTTAGCTGGTATTCTCAGCTGACAGAGGATCAAAAGTTAGTGAGCTGCCTATATATGCAGTATTTTTTAGGCATCATTGGTGCCATAAAGGAAGCTTTCTGGATGGGCAGCTCACTGGGTTTTGACCAACTCACAGCTTTAATGCTGTTGTTGTTATTATTATTATTATTAAACAAAGCATTAAAGAATTCAGACTACATGTTCAAAAATGTAATTATTATACAAATACTATGCAGTTTGGTACTTACCAAGCTGCCGTAGGTCATAACAAGCACAACATTTACACCGGAAAGAGTGTTTCCATCTGCCATTGTGAGATTTTAGTTAAATGGTCACGAAAGGATGATATCGGTCGATTTTAGTGGTCAGTGGTCAAATTTAGCTCGTTATTATTCGGATTGACAGCAGCATTTTCAGGAGAGCTTTTGTTGACAGCTCTTGTGGTCTCTTCGTCGCTTGTTTTGCAAGAAAAACGCCTGTCTACGCGTATGTCACGCCACCTTGTGGTTTGGCATAAATAACGCAGCAGCACGATCGTCGTCTTCTTCGTCTTCTTTAAAGTTTTATGGCGGTTTAACGCAACATCAGTTCAGGGTTTGTCAATAATGCCCAATGGGCCCAAAGATATGCACAGGTCATTTAAAGTTTAGCAAAATAAACGTGTGCAAATTGTTCATAAAACCATTATTGCATGCATGTCAAATTAAACTACAATATGCCACCATTGCTGATATACATTACAACAGCAAACAAGTAGGCCTATATATGCTCCTTATCAGATAAATGTGTTCCTTTTTTAAAGAAAATACTTTTCCCCCTTTTGACCACATGACGATGCCTTTCACATTCCATCATCCTATTTTAAGAGAGTTACTCATACAGAAGTGGCATATAGGGTATATAAATGTTCACCAATACCACTGTGTCTGTTGTTCCAAACCACAATGCTTTCTTGTCATCTTTTTCTCTGTGTTAGATTATAGCTCTCTATAGGCGCTCACAATTTTCTTTAGATTGTACTGACAGCCAACAGGAGAAACCTTCTTACAATATAGAAAAAGCTGGAACATTCCCTAGAGGGTTTTCAAAAACATACTTTGATCCAAAGCAAGAACCCTCTACCAACAGAGAGAACAGAAATTATCAAAGGGACAATTCCTCTGGACTAAGTTTTTCAGTGTCATCAAAGCCTAAATGGAGTACAGAAATGTCCTCTGTCAAAAAAGCTCAGTCACTTCTGCCTGATGACAATGACGAGACAAGCAGAACGTGGTTTACAGGGTCTACAAAGTATTGTAGTCAGTCCTTAGAAAGGACCAGGAGTAGACTGTCAGCAACTGCTCAATGCAATGCTCGCAGGAACCAGCCTGACAGTTCAAGCATCTCCGGCCAGGGTGTCAAACACTTGTTAACCACTTCCGGAGGAATCAAGGAGGAAATTGGGGAAGATAAACACCCACTGGCCTCAAAAGGAGAAGCACACAATGAAATCCATAAAGAGGAAGAGAAAGATCATGTCTTCATGGTTAAAACTGCAGGAAGGAGAGGAGATGGTGTTCTAGAAAAGTCGCGTTTACCATCCTCAGATTCTGTGAAGAATACAATCAGCATGTTTGAATCTTTGGCTCAACAAAGCAAAAGCACACCAGAGATTCTTTACACCAGGAGGACATTATCTGTACCAGAGCCCTCCAAGCCTGCAGCTCCATTGAAGAAGAGTGTTTCGGGAAAAAATCTACATTTTGGAAGGGTTGTGGGGAACACAGAAAGCCTAAGAACAAATATCTTTGGCAAAAGCGATTCTAATGAGGAGACTGAAGGAACTGTTGACCTAAGTAGAACTCCTCATTCAAATTCCACAGTCAAAGTAAGACCAACATTAGAACAACATCAAGAGACATACAAAAAGAGTCTTGAGCTTGCTCCAGCATTAAAACAAATGAATGAACCAAGAACTGACCAAGTTATCAGCATGAGGGATGAAGATGAAAGGAGGACTGTGAATAAAAAACACATAGATGAACCAGATTCTACCATCAATGCTCACTCAGGGCTCAGAAACATAGGGGCAGTGGAAGAAAAAGCAAGAATCCCATCAATCTCTCAACAGTCAAATGTCAAAAGTTTACAAAAGCAAAAGTCAATTAATGTAAAAATAGTTGATGATGATGAAAACACGCCAACTAACTCACCTGATGGAGCCCCTCTCACAGTTAACATTCAAAAGCAGAGTAGCCCTGGAGCCGTAACAGTCAATGGTAACCATCCCAAAGTGCTGCCCAATCATCCTCAAAGTTCTACTCATATCCAGACAATATATTCCTCACTCAATAACTCTAATAATAACAACTATGAAACAACAAGGAAGGATTTGACCCCAATGACTACTAGCATGGCCAGGTGGAGCTCTGATGAAGAAGATGATGATGAGGAAACAGACACCGAAGGAGACTCTGACTCAGGAGAGTCATCTGTGACCATCACAAGCACCATGAGCCAATCAGAACGCAAAAGTTTCTCTCTAAGGTAATTAATATGAAAAAAGGGGTATAATTGATTCAAATTGATATTAAAAAGTTATTTAGATTCAAAAGGAGAGTCGGCTTATTTCACATGCACAAACTACCAGGTTACCCAGTTTAAACACCTTGCCTTTCTTTTTCTTTTCTTTTTTTATTTCTATATCCACTTTACGTAACCACTATTCTCTTTCTACATGTTAACCTATTAGTTTTGTGGAACTATGTAATTATGGTGGAGTGGACTATAAACCATCAGATGGATGTTTGTCAGAGGATGATGAAGTTTCGCCATACACACGCTCTGCGTCCTTGAGCTCAGACATCTCAGCCTTCTCTTCTGTGACTCTGCTGAGCACCGATGAACTGGATCACTTAATAGATGATGTCAGGGGCTTGGAAGATGACACCCTGCAGGTACAACAAGTGATGTACATATGTTTTTTAATGTCTAAAAGCCATAATTTGACAATGAAATACACTTAAAGTTATATGCCATTTAAATTTTGTTATAAAATAAATATACAAAGACAATTATAGATTGATATGTGCATGTTAATTAAAAAAATAACTATTTCCTTTTGCTATTATAACTTTTACGTCTGACTTATGACAGAAATATGAAGATGTGCAAGTAGTTGTGTTACACAAGGAAAAAGGGAGTGGCTTAGGATTTACCTTGGCAGGTGGTGTGGATCAGAATAAACCAGTCACAGTGAGTATCACTGAATGCTGTAACGCACAAACATGACTAATAGGAACAGATACAGATGGTCAAATGAGTCCGATACAAAAAGCAGCAAATACTGTGAAGAGATTACGCCAACCCTTGAGTGGACTTCAGATGAAGCTGACTCTGAATAAACATACAAAACGGCTACATTTTCCTTGCATTGTAATCAACAGGATCACATCATGTAACCATTGCTTTAATTTGTTCATTGTTTCTGTATATATTTAAGCTGACCACATTAATCCTCAAATATTAGCGGATTTTATCTTTTAAAAACAACACTGATATAACTACATATATATACTACGTATACATGTAAACATTCTTTTATAAATAATGTAAATAAATTATTTTATTGTCTACTAATTACCAAAAATCACAGTTCTGTCTCTCCAACTCAGTGTATTTCAATTGCCCGCTATGAACTTCCTGGAACTATTTGAGGTCTACGTGAATCACGTGACGATCGAGCGTTTTGGACTTCCGTTGACGCAACTCTCTCTTTCCATGGCTCTGGTTTGCTCCATCTCTTTCTATGGCTCTGGTTTGCTGCAAGCGAGAGCTGAGAGGAGGAGCGCAAAAGTACAACCCCGCCCTCTATTCAATATTCCGTTGAAAATACCTCACTAAACTGAAATCAAGTCACATGTGGGTTCAGAATTTGGGTTAGGTATTTTTGTGTCTGTTGTAATCTTAATTGAACCAGGGATTTAAGCTAGTTCTTGAAATTCCTTTGAGAGTAAAATTCTGACTGACAGCCAAGAACCAACAATGTCATAATTCCCTAGAGAAAGAAAGCATATCAACACCAGAGGCATGAACAATTTACATATATATAAACTGTAATAATCATTAATATCATTATATATGCATTTTAAAGGCCACGTCTGTGTGTGTATAAAGAGAAAGAGTGAAAGAGCAGACTCATCATTTTCTGTAGTAAATATCATTATTGTGGTTCTGGTTTGATGGTGATTTCCTGTTTGACCTTTTGAGACCGCGAGTGTAAAAGATGGATAAAGAAATGGGGTAAAACAGAGGGGAAGCCAATGAGGGCAGAAGAATTATTGGAAAATAACTAGAACAACATGTACAGGAAAAATACATGGGCAAAGGAATTAAAATATGTGGCGCATATGCTTACCATAAATTATAGATCATAACACTCAAAATCTGACTTGTTCAGCCTTACAAGACCGCAAATAAATAACTAAGGGTGCCGATTAAAATGCAAGAGCCACTCTCTGGTTAGCATTGTGTGACAGACTGTGTGTGCATTATGCATGCATTTAAAATATGTAAAAGAATGTGTGCTGCATGACGCTTGTTAGAGATGCTGAGTCAAATTACCTGCTTTACACCACTGCAGTCTGTTGTCAGCGTGAAGATGTGTACTTGTCTGAGTGTTTATTTTCAACATGACTTCTAGATCTGGGTTATTTAGTGTCAAAAGCAGCCTGCTTACTGGGTCTGTCCTTAAGTAGCTTTGTGCATATCAGTGTGTGTCCTTGCTCATATGTTTGTGTGTGTGTGTGTGTTGTGGGTCATTGGTTTTGACCTGCTGGTGTGGAAGCCTCCAGTCAGATACGTGCTAATAGACTCTAATCATGGCTTACACACGTGTACCAGCTTGACTGTCTGTGTGTGTGTATAGACAGAACTATTACATCTCACCTGAGTTAACCTTTAGTGTTCAACTAATATTCTGTGCTTTCTTTGCATCTTTGGATTCTATTGTTTCTGGATTTGTTATTTTTGTGAGAATATTTTTACCTGCATAAGCAGATCGTTTAGATAACTCTAGTTCTCGAGCCAGAGGTGAACTCCTCCTACCCATCTCTTCCCACGCTCTCGAACAGTCTGCTTTAATTGTCTACATAAAATGAAATCATATCTTTATTGTGGGTATTCAAAGCAGATGATTCAAAACAGATAATTGTCAGTAGTGCTCTGAGGGCAGCTCGGAGACAGAAAAATGTCTCTCTGATGACTTTACATGACCCTTCATGCTTAAGGAAATATCAGTCAATATTAGAAAGATATTAGTAAATCACAGAGGAGATGGAGTGGAGGAGGCAGGGCCATATTGCAAGCCAGTTATGATGACTGAAATTTCTTCATCAGGAAAAGTCAAAATGCCATAATATGAGATGACGATTATGGACAAAAGCACTAAAATCAAAGCATTGCTGTGTTGTTTGAGAAAAGGTATATTACTTATCCATAAGTAAGTGATATTAAAATTCTAGCTAGTATTGATGTTAAGTTTACGTAATGGATTATATTACAAATCTATATGGCTTTGTAAAAAGAAATGAAGTTAAAACACACTTAAACTACTTAAAGTAATTTAGGCATCACAGCATTTTAATACAATATGAAACATACACATTCCTTTTAGAACCTTCTATAGAAAACAGTATATACAGTGCACAGCATAAATGAGTACACCCCCTCTAAAACTTAACAAATTCAGTAATTACTCTTTACTTAGAAGACATGTTAGGGTTCTTTGGAGATACAGTATAATGTTCCAACAAGCCTGCTTGATCAATTACCATAGAAGAATGCCAAAATCATTCTGCAAAATAAGATTTTCTTATCCAAGTAATACAATTTTGTGTTGCAAAAATGAGTACACCCTCCTGAAAGTTACAAAATAAAAATAAAAATAAAAAAGTGTATAGGTTTAAGGCTATTTTTGATCAACAGGTAAGTATATTGAACCAAAACTTTTAAAGACAAGTAATTTCTTTAAAGACAAGTAATTTCCTGACAATTAAAAATGTTATATAGCTCACTGAATCATACTCAGACTTAATACTGGCAGCAGTGGAACCACTTGGAAGAGAACTGCCAGGTGACTTATTTCTTAGCATAAAAGAGGACAATGGTACAAGAGGAATACCAAATTATTGTTTTAAGTGAAAATATAGCAGAAGTGGCACCGACATTCAATAGCAATGGACTTGTGATAAGGCTCCTGAAATACTCAGGTCTTCACTTTAAGTTTTAATTTAGTGATGTGTGATATTTTTTTTTGCTAGAAAAAGAGCAGGAGAAATAACATCCAAGTGTCTCAGAGCCGGCAAAAGCTACGAAAAAAGTGACACTTTATCTCACAGAGTATGACGCAGCATGCAGAAGTGACATGCATGGTTGTTGTCACCACTAGAATTACCTACTGTAGCCAAAGCAAAATAAACTCATTTAACCTCTTTCCAAGGCTCATATTTACAAAATAGAGACTTCTGGGAATCCATACTCTGGTCTCGAGAGACCAAGTCAATCATTTCAGATCCAAAAGCATCCAAAATGTTCTGGTGTTGCTAGAGGAGGAGTTCAGTGAGAAGTGCTTGGTACCCACAGTGACGTTCAGTGGTAGTAAAGCTTTTATATAGGGATGAGTGAGTGCTGAAGGTGTGAGGGAGTTGTGCTTTATCAATGCTGGCATGAATTTACACACTACTGTGTGATGTAATACAAAAACTTGAAATAGAAGATGTTACCCTCCCCTCATTCCCTGCATTACTGGGCATTTTTTTCAGCAGGACAATGAATATATTCGTTCTCCCAAGGTGAAAATCCTTCAGTGGACATGTATTTCACTCAATCTTAACACTCTTGAGCTGCTGTGAGAGATTCTTTAGAGACGAGCTGAGCAACACTCCCCTTAACACTCTTGAGCTGCTGTGAGAGATTCTTTAGAGACGAGCTGAGCAACACTCCCCATTAAAGACCAGGGCATTTAAGGAGGTCGTCCTCCAGGAGTTAAACAGCACAGATGTGAAAATTTGTCATGAACTTGTACACTCAGCGCCAAGAAGGGTCAGAGCAGTATACTTTAAGTTCTGGAGGACATACTAAGTACTAGAATATTATACATTTTCTGAATTAAATCTAGGGTGTACTCATTTCTGCAATCCTTCATTTAAACAAAATTGGCTAATTTACTTATCTTACAGAAAATATTGTCATATATTTTGTTGTTTTTATTAAGTGTATGTTTAATATGTTTCGATTTTGCCATCTTTCTATGAATTATATTAGTGATCATTAAGAAAATACATCTTTTATATTTATTCAGAGGAGGTGTACTCATTTATGCTGTGCACTGTACATTTAAAAGCATTAGTATTCAAAATAATAAAGGAAAGACCCTTACACTTGTCAAATTTAGAGCTCTTAAAAGGGTTAAATCTTTGTTATAATTGATCACCACCCCTTTAAATTAGTGCTAAAGAATCTAAATCTTAAAATTTAGCAGATACAATAAATAAGAAAAACATATAAGATAAATTATATGATGTCAATATGTCAATAAGTTGCCCCTATATGGAAAACTTTATGGTAGATTATAAACTATTTCATGCTGATGTAGGGCTAGACAATAATTCAATATCAATATGTATCGCGATGTAATTTTTTTCAATAACGGTGATATGATTTTTAAACACATTTCCGATATTTCGATATACATTACCAGTTTCACAAACATTGATTTATTTGTGCTGTTTGACTTCATTGAATAAACATGAGCACTGCACGTTTCAAAATCAAAACACGGCGTGGGTGTTTTATATGAATGTATCTCTGAAGGGAACCGACTGTCTTCAGAAAAGTTTCGATGGCATTTTCATTTGATCTGATAAAGTAGCGTTCATGAGCGGAGCTGCTGTGATTACAGCCATTACTGGAGAAAGCGCTAGTTTTATCACTCTAAAAGCGCCTCGTGCTGGCAGAGAATGAGTTTTCATTTACAATAAGCCTGTCTCCAGCAACATTTCCCGTTTTTGTTGTTGTTCAATTTTTTTGTTTTCTGCAGCGACT